TGTATCTTGTAGCCATGTGTCTTCCTTGGTTACGCTTCTAGAGATTTGCAGACCCACATTAAGCATCTATTAAATTAAGCAAAATGGCCTTTAGAAAGCTGCATTTCAAGTGGAAGAAATGCTTTATGTAACTTAGGGGTATGTGAGGGGACTTAAATACAAGCTTAAATTGGCTGTTACGAAAATAGGTATAATTGGTTTTTTGCACAGTGATTTTACGGCTTATGAGTTTAATGTCCTGATGAAATCCTGCATCCAGTCCTCACACAGCCAAGGGGAGATGGGGGTTGAGGAGCCTGAGTAATGGGACTGGTTTTAGGAACAGCCTTGCCCTCATTTGCAAAATGGGACATACCTGTCATTTGCTGAGACTCTGCTTGGTTGGAAAGGCATCTGGAGCAGTGGTTTCCTCTCATGTGTGTTTGCCCTTCGGTGTCCCCCTGCAGCACTCCACTGCCCAGTATCAGGGCTGGGCAGGGGAAGGGGCACCTCTTGCTGTGGTTGTAACTACCTGAAGGTGAAAAACGCAGGACGCTTGCAGCTGTGTCCTCCTCACTGTGCGTGTGCCAAGAGCTCTGCAGCTTGGTTTTCCAGCCTGATCAATGCAGTTACTTGAAGTCTTCGGGTAATTTAGTAGCTGGAGGCACGTCTGTGGGCTTGGCTGAGAGTGACTGCTTTGCTTCCTGCATCGGGGATGGCTGGGGAGGGTTTTCCTCTGAGCTTGGGCTTCCCCGGTTGCTTCTGGGGCCAGGAGATGCTGTGGGGCTGTCACAAGCCGTTCTGGGCTCAGGAGCCTGAGGTAGTGGAGGATATCACATTTTGACCTTGCATCCTCATATTAATTCAAATAGTCTTTCCTGTTTCTATATTTAAAGCCATGCTGTTATTCTGTCTGGTGAGACAGAGCGTCAGCTCTCTTGGGTAAAGACTGACCCATCCTCTTCTGGAAAGCTGGTCACCAAGGAGCATATCTCCATAGAAAACAAGGCTTCCCCAAATCCTACTGTCAGGAATTGGAAGAATATTTTAGTTCCTGTCTCTTCAGCCAGTTAAGACTTAAGGCTGGTTTCCTTTCTAGCTCACTAAAGGTCTTGCAAGGATGAAAAGAACTGTTGCTTTCCTAAGAGTGTCTTAGCCAACACATGGGAGGAAAGCCTGGCACTGTGAGACAGGGCGGAAAACACTGAGAGAGATTTGCTGCCTCTTTGAAACTATCCCTTTTTAATGGTCCAAACAGTGTTTTAGAGAAAATCTCTGCTCTTCTCTGTCTTCTTCCAGCATCATAATTGTACATAATCACATTTCTTTCTCAGAAAGAATAAGGCGTGATTTATTTATTTATTTTTTTGCGGAAGGGGGAAGGGATAAATTCCAGATGTTGCTGGGATACACTTTTTGCCTCTGTTTAATGTTCAGTGGCTCTCAGTAAACAGGCTATGAGAGGTGGGGCTGATGGTTTTTATTCCAGGACGAATCATCTACAATAAATCCCATCTGCTGACAGGGGACCATATCTTGGGTGTGACTTGGTGCAGTTAGGAGCTGATCCTGGCTTTCTTGCCTTGCCGAGAGGCAGCGAAGGCTGAGGTTGGCCCAAGTCCTCCTTTGGGGTTTTTACTCTTGTCCTTCATGGTATTCACCCTCTTCTCCCCACCTTGCTGCTGAGCTCTGGCTCTGTGAGTGAGGAATGGTCGGGGGGGGGGGGGGGGGGGGGGGGGGGGGTCTGCTCCCCTGCCTTGTGTGGACCCTGGCATGGGAATGAGCACCTCTGCTTTGAACTGACTGGCTGCTGCTTGGGAGGGCAGCCCTGGTCAGGCGAGGGCTGCTGTGTCCTGTGTGCTGTCCACATGGGATGCCCTGTTTAGCAGGAGCCTTCAGGCCATGCTGCCATCAAGCCGAGTTTGCTGGGGCTGGGGTTACAGCCCAGCAAAGAGCATCCGTGTGCCCTGCACCACAGTATGAGGCTGGATGCAGGAGCTGGGCTCTGGGCACGGGCAGACCTCTTCCCTCCTCCCACAGTGAATACTTCTCACTGCATGTGATGCTTTTACCTGCTTTTGGAACCTTCTTGCAGACAAAACCAAAAATAATGTCCCAGCATGCGTTGCATTTGGGCGTCGTGGAGCAACCGCAGTGGCTCCATTCCCTGTTTTGTGTTTTCACCTGTTCAGACCGAGTCCATCTTTGTTTTGTTGGCAGCCTATTTGGTTGCACAAACAGTGTAAGACAAAACCACCAGCAGGTGTTGGTCCAGCCAGTGTAATTACTGGTTCCTTGCTGCTGCTGCTGGTAGGCACACAGCGTGAGCCACCCTTCACATGGAGCCGTCTGGCAGGACTGTGGCTGCAGAAGGGCTCCGGGCACTGATCCACAGGGAATGCAGTCTGACTGTTCAGCCTCTCCGGTATCCCCTTCCCTGCTGCTGACTGCATAAAAGAAAAGTTATGCATGTATGGAGGAAGGGATGAGAGGTGAGGGTGGCTCTGGTTGAGTTTAAAGTGATGACTATAAGTGCAAATCTGCATTTGCGTTTTAAAAGTTGGCAAAATGGCTGAACCAGAAGGCCAAATGTGAGCATGGGAGAGCAGGGCGAGCTCAGAGGGTGGTGAGAAGCTGCATCCTCAAATCCTGCGTGACATAGGAGGGTTCAGGCTCGCTTCTCCTACACATCCCTGTCATGGCCAAAACACGTTGGGAGCAGGCAACAGCCCTGGTGTGTGCACAGGGGGTCAAGGCACCCTGGCATTGCCGGAGCAGGGAGAGGGGCAGAGCTGCTGCTGGCTGCACCTTTGGGAATTTACCCTGAGGACAGCAGATCCTGATCCAGGCACGGAGCCTGTTCTCAGCCTCCAGCTTTCCCATGGAAACACACACGTTTGGGCATCCCATCCCTTCTTGGCCATCACTTTTTCTGGGCCTCTGCGTACCCTTGGCTGCCCACCCCATTTAGCGTTGAACCTGTTTTTTGCCTCCACTTATCCATAGAGTTCTGCCCCTGTTTGGCCTTCGGACCCTTTTTGGCCTCCATTATTTTTGCCCTCTACTTTTCTACTGACCCTCCACACACTTTCAGTCTAGACTTTTTCTCACCCTCCTTTGGCCTCCTGCCCCTTTTTGGCCTCCACTTTTTCCCAGCCTCTGACTTACTTTTGGCCTTGCTCTGCCTTTTCAGCCCCTATCTTTTCCCAGGCTCCACTTTTCCCCGCCTCTGTTTTTGCTTTGGCCTCCCATCCGTTTTTGGCCTCTACTACCTTTGTGGCCTCTGCTTTTTTTCTCAGCCTCTAATTTACTTCAGCCTCCCGCCCCTCTTTGGTTTCCCATTCCTTTTGGCCTCGACTTATTTTCAGCCTCTACTTTACCTTTGGCTTCCTGAACCTTTTGAGCCTCCTGCTTCTTTTTGGCCTCCACTTTTTCTCAGTGTCTGCTTTTCCCTTTTGTCCTCCTACCCCTTTTTTGTGCTGGTTTTGTTCCATCTCTTCGAGCTCTGTGCATTAAAGTGAGGAAGGAGGAGGAGGAGGTCACACCTTGTTTCCACGCGTTGCTGTCTGGCTTGGCTGAGTTCCTTTGTTTCCTATCCCAGCAGGAGCAGTGCGGGTGCCCCTTCCAGCGGGGCAGTGATTACCCGTGTCGGAGGCTCTCTGCTCCCTGTGCGCGCTGCTCCTGTGGCTCTTAGTCTCTTCATCTTTACCAGGGTGAAGAAGCTGCTTATTTCCATCCTCCCGGGTGCATGGAAAGCCCCTTTTTAAAGCTGTGTTTGGGAAGGATGCTGTGTTAATACAAGCCCTTGACCCTCCCAGCTTGCTCTCCTGCACTCGTACCGCAGCGGTCATGGTGCGAGCGGAGGCAGGAGCAGCGTGAGGTATGTGAGGACCCACGGCGCAGCAGCCTTGGTGTGTCTGGCGGCTGGACCCTCCCTTGCTCTCGGGTTAGAGGCCACTTTTGTAGGCCAGTAGGGCTCCTTTGGCATCAGACTGTGGCAGGCAGTAATTAGCAGCGATTAACCATTATCAGTGGCAGTTCTTAAGGGCTTCATAAAAAGGCCCCGTACGCAGGTTTGGTCTGGGGACTGCAGAGCAGCTCCTCAGGTGCTGGGGTTGTGCTGGTGGGGCTGGGGGGAGGTCCATATCCCATCAGGTTTGCAGATATTGATGCACTGCTCACTTCCAGGCCAAATAGGTTGTCTTTTATGCCAAACTTTGTGTTCCTAACTTGAAAATACATCTGCTGGGCATTGTATCTGGGGGGTTGTGCAGTAATTTGCTGTCGGTCTTCATCTTTAGCACCCCTCTGTGTCTGCAGGCAGCGCATGACAATTAGACCTTAGGCAGAAGCTCTTCCCTGTGAGGGTGCTGAGGCGCTGGCACAGGGTGCCCAGAGAAGCTGTGGCTGCCCCATCCCTGGCAGTGTTCAAGGCCAGGTTGGACACAGGGGCTTGGAGCAACCTGCTCTAGTGGAAGGGGTCCCTGCCCGTGGCAGGGGTTGGAACTGGATGAGCTTTAAGGTCCCTTCCAACCCACACCATTCCATGAATTAGCCAACTGGTGCCTTGGTGTGCACGCTGCTGCCTGAGGCCATGGACTGGTGGGGTGGTGCTGTTGGACATGGTGGGAAGGTCTCTGGGGTGGGCTGAGTGATCCCAAAACCTTTACAAACCTTTGTAAGGCTCTGGCATATCATCAGGTGAGCTGGCTGCAAGCGGTGCTGGGGAAGCCCGTGCAGTGGCATGGCTGGAGAGGAGCAGGACCTGGTGCTGCGACTTCTGGTGTGGGAAAAGCATGTGGGGTCATTACCAGGAGTGGTGGCACCCGCTTGTAGTGCTGTGGTACTCCTGGCTACCACGGAGGTGGTAGGCTCGGGTGCAGATGCCAACCATGGTTGGCTGTGGGGGAGCTCTTCCAGAATGAGTCCCCAGGAGGGGAGCTGGGGTTTGTGTTGCAGCCGGTCGGAGGGGGCTCCCATCACTGACAGATGCTTTCTGTTTTTCTTTCAAATGTCTCCAGGCACTGAATGTTTAGGTCGCACCTTTCCAGGTAAACTGGGTAAGTGAAGTATTTCAAGAGTTGCCAAGATCTAATTATGAAGGCTGATTGCATGATTGCAGCTGCTGTACTATAAACACCCTGGTTACTCGCTTGACAAAACAGGTGGTACATTGCCTTGCCCTGAGAGCAGCAGGTACCTGCTGTTGGGGTGCAGAGGGGGATGCAGCGGTGTCTTCAAGGCTGAATGCACAAGCTTGCTGTTTGTCTATCAATAGCTGCCTGCACTTTGGTAATCCTGGATGTGATTATTTTATTTCTCCTGTTAAATGCAGAAGCATCTTCAAAAGCTGAATGAATGTCTTTTTAAGCACGAGTAATGAGGAGCATTACATTGAAGGAAGAAACTTTCACTGTGTTTTGTGAAAGTAATTTGACAACCTCAATCTGTTTAAGTCATGGCATGTTGGACTTCAGTTGAGTGTGGCAGGAGCTGCCCGTGCTCAGGACAGACAAAACCAGATGCTGGGAGCCCTGTTGAACCAGGCTGCTGGATCTGAGCTGAACCTTTTGCAAAAGAGCCTTTGCTGGTTTAAAAAGACATCATTGAAATCATTTATGGGTCTGTCTCTCAGTTTAGAATTGAGTTTCTGAGAGTACCTCAAAAGTAAAGTGTCTTTGCTCAGATGTGGTGTTCGAAGCCTGCTGGGGAAGAACTGATTAAGCAAACTGTTAACAAGTAGATTTTAATAAATGGCTAATCAATTGTTATAGAGCCTGCAAAGTCAATAGAACTTACGACCTTGGCTTATTATCACGCTCAGATCTTTAACGTGCTTATAATACAAATCATTCATTAGGCTTTTATCAAGCATTATTCTTAAAAGTCATGATCTAAAATATGACAAAAAGATTGTTGTTTCAGCTTGCTTGATTTCAAGCCTGATGGCACAATTTGGTTGCACAGCAAAATAGTCCTTGCTTACACAAAAAAGCCATAAGACACCACTGGGTCCCACCAGCGGTGTTATCATGGTGCAGACATCAGGCAGGGGAACAGCAAGAGCCTGAGGCTGGGAGCAGCTGGTGCATGGAGGGCAGACACAGCCCCAGTGCTGGGACACTCGCACCAGCCCATAGGGGAGCTGTCCTGCAGCAGTCCGTGCTTTGTTTATATTTATTTTATATTAATGCCTTGAAGGGCAGATCTCAGCAGATAAACGGGGTGGGTGGAGGGAGCCTGTGTCGCGCTGTGCTCAGCAGCATAGCTCGGGGTGTTTTCAATCTCGCAAAAGGTGTTTGCTGTTGCTTGACTGTTGTAAAACTTGCACCCGTTTTCTTGTCCTGTGATTGAGGAAAGCGTGTGAGCAGGGAGCTGTTCTACCTGTGCTGCTCTTCCTGCTTTCCCTGGTCTTCCCTGTCCCATTTTGTGGGGATGTTTGTGCCTCGGGGAGGGAGGCTAAGATGCGAGTGAGAACATGCGGTTTTCTTAGAATATAAATAACAGAAAATTAAATGCATTTTGTTGCTGTAGAGTTGTTCCCTGTAGTTTCCAGTTGCTTGCTCCTTTGACACACTCTTGTATTCTTTGGGGGTTTTTAATCTTACTAAATGGATGCTATTTGGAGTATGGTGTCCGACACTTCAGTGATCTTGCTGCTAGTGTGGTTGCGGGCCAAGCACAGAGCTGTGTTTGCAGACATCAGTTCATGCCCAGAAAGTCTCCCCAGGCTTCTGAAAGCCACAGTCTGCCAGGCATGGCTGCCTCTGCTGCATGGATTTTTGCCTTGCCTTTGTTGTCTGGGTCCTTGTCTGCAGCTACAGCCCGGGCCAGTAGTGCCAGACATCTCCACCTCCTCCTGGAGCACCCTGGTGCTGTCTGTGGAGCTGGGACCCTCTGGGAGAGATGCCCAGCCCCGTGCTTCCTGGGCTAAGACCCTGCACATGGAGGGTCAAAACACAAACCCTGAGCAGGGAGCACCACCTGAGACTGACTCAAGGGAGGTTTAACTTTCATTTGGTTTCTTTTTTCCTGGGTTTTTAAACTGCTCCGTCATCTTACAGTAAGATGATGGATGTCATCATCTCACGGATGTCTCTGGTGTGGATGCCAGGCTGGAATTTCTATAAATGACTTGTGGAACCCTGTCACCTGCTGAAAGGGACCCAGTTTCTGAGCCACAGCCAGAGCTGGGTCATGGGCAGGCTCTGCCGTCCTCCCCTTGGGAGCAAAAAGGGTGCTGCAATTCCTGCTGGGTGTTGGGGTCGGCTCTTCTGCTTCTCACAGAGGCTGGCTGGGAATGTGTACAGAGGGTGAAGAGGAGATACCTACACCAAGGAGCCACTCATCTGATTCGGGAGGAGATGCAGCCCTTGAGCCCTTTAAAATCAAAGGGCAGGGTGGAGAGTTTGCACAGAACAAAATTCATGAGGGAAAATACGTAACTAAATGGAAACGCATGGTCTGCTGATTTCTGCGAGGTCTGAGTGAATTCTGTCCAAGTGGACGCACAGACTCCCCTGTTTCCCAGCAGCTGGGTCACGCTCTGCGTTCACTGCACTGCTCCCCTGCGAAAACGCCCCTATGCATCGTTCTTCATTTTATTGTTGTGGGTTTGGGAATTTTGTTATATTAGTCTAAATGGGTTTGTTTCCATAGCTGCATAGCGCTGCTGAAATCCCCGTGTAGGATCTCGCAGTCTCCCTGTGCATGCGTACCAAAAATAACCCACACGCGGCTGTCAGAAGATGAGCTGCTGCCATGGCAGGGGCCGAGCTGCAAGCAGGTTTGGGCAGGACCTCCTTGAGGCTGCAGTTGTGTGGCATCTCACCCCAATGCATCCTGCTGCAGCTCCCTGCTCTGCAGGCAGCAGTGGTGCCTGGGTGGCCCCAGGGACCTGCAGAAGGAGCTGATGCAGAAGGAGTGATGTTTTGGAAGTAGAATAGGAAGTGGTAGGGATGGAGGGAGAACTCCCTGTCCCTCACCTTTTTGTCAGGTAGAAAGGTAAGGATGTGGTAGGGCGTGTTGGTGAAGGATGTGCATCAGGTGGCTACCAGGTGCTCTCTTGCTCTGAATTCAGTGTATTCACCAGCAGGTGTTAGTATTCCACTTTTTATCAGAAGGGAGTGGGCTTTTCATGGCTTTATAAACTATCTCAGCTCCTGCGCCTGGTTTTGCTTGGCTTCAGGCTGTAACTCCAAGGGTCCAGCCTGGGGTGACAGGATGGAGGGTCTCCTGCAGATGTTTGAGGTGGCTGGTGGTTGCACCCAGGGTTGCAGGTCCTATGTGGGAATGGTGCTCCTGAGCCAGCGAGTGCTGCTGATGCCTAGGGTGGTATCACACTGGTGTCACCATCTCTACACATGTGGGTCCCTCTGGCTTTGCTGTATAGCTGGGTTTGGAGCACATCTTCTGGCAGAAAACCTGGTTTCAAAGAAGTCATTATCTTTCCTTTGGGAAGAGTGAAACTGAAGACTTGTGTTTTGCCAAGACTGGTGTGAAGGTTGGCACACTCCAGTGTGGGGCCAGCCGGGTGCTCTGCTGGGAGCACTTGGGGCAGGTGCTGCTGCTGCTGCTGCCCGCAGCGGTGTGGCCAGGCCATGGCCAAGGGCATGGCTGGGGCGTGGGAGCACCGCAGGGAAAACCTTGTTATGGGAAAACCAGAGGGTGCAGGAGGGCGGCTGGCCGGGAGCACTTCCCTCGCAGCTCTGCCAGGGGTGTCCTCAAACCCCTGGCTGCTGCTTTCTCTTAATGCATCTTTTGAAGTACCGGGTAATAGGGTTTTCTTTCTGGCAGGGATGAACGAGGGCTTTTAATAGGTGTTTTGTTTTCTCTGTGCAATTCCCTGGCAGTAACCTGCCATTAGCTCTAGCATTTATTTAAGGTATTTGTATTTTTATATGTGGGGACCTACAACACTGAGGAGCTGGAGCAGGGGGGGCTTGTCCGGGGTCACACAAAAAATACGTGGTAGAGCCAGGTTTCAGCTTCAGCTTTTCTGAATGTTGAGTTGGTCTCCAGGCTTGGCAGAGAGGGAGCATCTTGGCTTGTCCCCTTTTAACTGGGACAGGCAGGGAAAGCAGAAAATAAAGGCTTTGTGGAGGGAAGTGTATTTTTTTTGCTCTGTCCTGCTGGTGACCCATACGGATCTGGAATTGCAGGACGGTTGCATTTGGGAGGGTGGTACGTGTAAAATACATGGAGGCAAAGGGAAACCCAGGCTGAGAGCTGCTGCAAACCCTGTGCTGATGGGGCAGGGTGTGCTGCTCATGGCCTCCCTCCCTCAATACGCTGGAGGGTTTCGGGGCTATGGCTGCAGCTGGGGTTTGCAGCGCTGCTCCCGTCCCGCAGTGCCTGTGTGCCGGGCTTGTCTGAGGCAGCCCCTGTGCGCCGGCAGCACAATGCCCGCCTTCATTCCCCGTCAGACTGGAGGTCTAGACGCTCTCCCTGCCTTTTGTTATCAGGGTCACAGGTTAGGGAGCATTCCCAGCTCCTGTTCCTCGCCGGTCAGGAATCCTTCCCAGAGCTGGGCGCTCCACTCGGGACCGCGGCAGGGACCCCTCTGGAGGGAGTCGCTTCACTACACGCTTGGATTTAAAATGACTGTGGCAGCTCCCAAAAGGAAATGTGCTTTTGAAATGCAGTCGGGATCACCCCCACTCCAGCTCTTGCAGGCACAGATGCTCAGCTGACACCAGCTAAATAGAAACCTTTTAGCCCTTGCCAGTAAGTCTAGAGCAAACTGCCAAAAAGCATCAAGGACCAAGGTACAAAACGGAGTCAGGCCTGAGCAAAGTACTTAGAAATGAAGGATGGAACCGATGTGCTCTGTCTCTTGGTTTTAGCACATGAGATGTTTCAGTTTCAGGGAGTTGTTAAATACAGTGGTGGAATTTTTAAGGTTTTCAGCAGATACAAAGCAAATAAGTCCCCTAGCAACAAAGGAGAGGTTTTTTTCCCTTAATGCAGACTTTTTTTTGACATGAAGCATTTGTGAAATTTCCTCCCACCCCTTTAAATCAAAGACGACTTTTTCTGAAGGAGACATTTTTAATGGCTT